TTTCATCCATATGTACATGGTCGACATTTTACTGTTGTGACAGACCACCATGCTCTTTGCTGGTTGTCGACAATCAAAAACTTTTCGGGACGACTTAACCGCTCGATTCTCCGGTTATAATCATATGACTGACGTTATCTACAAGACCGAAGACAACATCAAGATGCCGAGGCTTTGTCACGATGCTCTTTGTCGCAGTCTTCGGCGCACGTCACATACCCTTGTCAAATTGGCTATGCGAAGGACACCTGGTCGATATCATCTATTTCTTCTCTACCTTCATCCACCCGTCCTTCAGTACTTACCACTCACCAGCGAGCTGATTCTTATTGCACTGACCTCATCGGCCGGCATACCGGTGCTTCATCTTCCCCAAATGCCAGGCTCCGGAAACAACTCCGACTATTCAAGTTAGAGGACGATGTGCTCTATCGATACATTTTCCACCCTGAAGGCCATTGATGGGTTCCCATCGTACCATGCGTACTACGCACTGAAGTTCTGTGCGCTTCACACGACGACCCAACGTCAGGTCACTTGGATTACTACAAAACCTACGAGCACATCCGCAGTCGATTCTTCTGGCCAGGGCTTTCCACGATGGTAGCTAAGTATATTGCCTCATGCGCACTTTGCCAACACCGCAAGCGGCCCACTACTGTTCCAGTCGGGACCCTACAACCACTTCTTTGCCCAGTAGAGCCGTTCTTTGTCGTCGGAATTGACCTCTTCGGGCCCCTCCCAAATACATCAGACGGCAAGAGATGGATCGTCACCACGATTTATCACTTGACCCGGTACAATGAGACGGCCTCGATCACTTTAGGAACTGCTTCCGAAGTAGCAACTTTCTTCTTGAATGCTATTTACCTACCTCATGGAGCCCCTCGTGTTCTTTTGAGCGACTAGGGCAAGGCATTTCTTTCAAGCACGCTCAGTGAAGTTCTTCAAGCATCAAAAACATTTCATAAAAAAACATCTACCTATCACCCATAAATCAATGACTTAACGGAAAGATTTCATCGCACGCTGTGCGACATGCTGTCCATGTATATCCAACCAGACCATCGCAATCGGGATGTCATTCTTCCCTTTGTCATATATGCCTATAGTACGTCAGTCAGTTCAACGAACCACAGGCTATTATCCATTTTTCCTGGTATACAGTCGCCAACCGACATCACCACTCGATGTTTATTTCTTTTCTGACCCCGTCAACTCTTCACCATTCGCTTGCGACCAGTTTCTGTCCCGTGTTGCTCAATGCCGTCGTGTTGCCCGTGTAAACACTGAAGCTAGCCAAGAAGAGCACAAACATCGTTATGATGCCACTCACCGCGTCATTCTCTACTGCCCTGGTGACGATGTACTTCTGTGAACTCCTGCACTAACGCCTAGCTTATGCGAGAAGCTTGAGTCTATGGTGAGCCCGCTACTCACCGTAGCGGATGATCACCGCGGGTTCACGCTTAGCGAGCCACAGGGCCGCGACTCCGTCACTTACTCGCATGTAGCGCACCGCTCCGCGCGCGCTCAACTAATAAGGCATTTAACGCGGCGCGGCAAACAGACAGTGTTCCAATACAAAACACACAACACTTTATTGCCTTTGGCGGCACCCCGAACAACAGTACAACGTCCGCTCCCGGGACGCGGGTAGCAAAGGCACCCGCACGCAGACGTTCACAATAAGGGGAAAACCGCGAGCACGTCGCAGCTGGCAATGGCGAGCTTTGACACGCCGGTCAGGAAAAGGTCCCTCGCGGCTATGCTGCGCACTCTCAGGATGGCCAATGGGCCTGGTCGTGAGTGTTAGGGCAAACCTCGTACGCGTAGGCCTACGGCAAGTGCGGCTCGGTGTGGAACAACCACTTCAAGCACTAGGCACCGCTGTGGGCTTAGCGTACGCTACCGAAGCTAGCACTCAAGTAAACACACCTGCCGAGGTGCCAAAGGCCACCCCAGGCAGGCAGGCTACAGTCCGGCGATTCCCAAAAGGAACGCGGACGAAGGAAAACTTACCTGGTGCCGACCACGGAGAAGAGAGCGCTCCCTCGGCGCGTGCGTACCGCGTGCCGTGCCCGCACGTGGCGCCATCTATGGCCACGTGCCAATAGCAGAGCAGAAAAGCAAAAGGGTGTGGCCTTGTGGCGGAATGCCCGCGAAATGGTCGCGGGCGCGCCTCAGATTCCCACAGCGTTAAACGTCACCATTCCAGTAGCGGCCTGTCCTCACCCAGAGATTCTTAGCACCCTCCCCTCTATTGTGCCACACATCTGAAGTCACACGCTTTAGTCAGTTGCTTCAGAGCCACAGGGGGCCGAGAGTTATTCGGTGTATTCATGTGGAAGGTTGTGGCCAAGTATTGCATCAAGGTGGGATGCTGCTCGAGTGAGGGAGTGCATTACCAGCTGTGGTTACCAGTGGGGCCACACCCCGGGCCTTTCTATTATGTATCCCTAATTTATGCAACTATATATTGCATATATATATATATATGGCTGATTTGCACATGTATTCAGCAAAACTGGTAATAATAACATTAATAAACTGCAATTCCGCAACTGTTTCCGCTTTGAGAAAGCAACTCTAAACTACCTGCTCTCTGGTGATTTGACAATTGATCTTTTCCAAAAGATAGTGTCCTAGGACGCCAGCTTTACTCATCAAAATTCTGGCAAAGCACAAGCAGTTCATGGAAACAGACTTGAGTGTCTCAATCTACCAATTGAATGCCTTAAGGGTCTCGATCCCGACTGAGTACCTCTTCTAACAAATGCAATTAATCTGGATCCCTCAACTTTACCTGTAGGGTTGCAAACTAAGCAAAGTTTCTCTCCACTTTCTTGTTCACTCTGGCAGAAAAAGAAAACTTCGTGTCGGTGTGGTTTACATTGTTATGGAGAAATGAAGTAAACGAAGAACTGAAGAAGCTGAGAAGCATGCGAGTGTGTAGGCCAACCATCTTGAATCTTGTCTGTGTTGCTTCCTGTAAATTGTGGAGATAGGTCAGCTAGAGAAGCTTACCCTATAAAGCAACCAGGAAGGGACGCCATATTCTCTGTAGCCGTCGCGCCTGAAGATGCTACAATCACATTCGTCGACTCTCCGACAAGACGCAGAATTAAAAAAAAGGCACTCGAGGCAGTTTGTCAACATGAGTTCATTTACCCAAGATGCTGCACAGTGCAACAATCGTGGGATCGCAGGCCGGTAGTGTAACTCCAGAAGACCGATTGAGTACACGAGCGTGCATGCTATGGTTACAACACAAAGGTGAAACCACTGAAGTGCGGACAAAAAGTTGCCCGCAAAGACAAAGCATGTCTCTCATGTCACAGTTGTGCAAGCCTCTCTCGCGGCGAGTGAGCACCAGTCAGCATCAAGCGCAAAGAGGAGAGGGAGCTGTCACTAATGGCCAGTGAGGACAAGCATGTACAGTGGCATGTTCTGACATGCCATATACCCAAGCCGTGCGCCCAAGCCATGCGAGGTTGGCGGACGTGCTAGCGAGCAACGAGAAACCAAGAAGGAGGGCGCTCTCGATTTTCACAAAATACATCTTGTATAAAGCAAACTATCCCCTAAGATACTGGTGGAGGTGCTGCAGGGTACTACAGCAAGTAATGGAGCTCTGCTGTGGACATCACATTGCATTCCCAAACATGAATAACCTTGAACACTCCACATCAACGTCTCCATCAACATTGCCATCACCACTGTTCGTTTTCATACCATCCAAAGATCCTGGTACATTTTGTGAGACCAATGGTGTCAACGTTGAAGACTAGTAGGCCATGCTTGAACATGTGAGTGTACCTAGTAGATGGGATCCCATGCTTCAGCTGGCTAATGTGTTCCATTTGAGGGGCACAACAAAGGAGTGGATTTAAAACGACGAAAAGCTCAGCAGCTGGGACCGATGCAGAGAAAGGTTACAAGAAGTATTTGGCAAACCCACCAGCTGAAAAATCACCGCAAAAAAGGAATTGCCCGGTAATGTTCAGAACACTCTGCTGAGGTGTTCTGTCCCCATTCGCCCCTTCCCCCCCACCTTGAGTCGTTCAACTATGGTCTCCCGAAGCCAACGGTTTTCTCCCCGTTACCACCACCCAAGTGAGTGAAGAACTGTGGACGACTGCCCAAAATGATTCACCTACTGCTACGTTAAGCATATTGCTCGCTACTGTTGCAACCCATCGTCCTCAGCACCATGCACAACAAATATAACCCGTTTCGGTCGTAATGCCCGCTACTTTTGGCCCCCACCAACGCCACCAGCAAATCTGCTAAAAACACGTGCTACAGTCACTCACCTGCGCCATGTGAATACCAATTTTGTTTGCTAAAAGTGCATTGCCCATTATCTCATTCCCCTCATATGTTGCCTATTGTCCCCCGTGGCTTTCAGCCGCACCCCCTACAGCCCTTGGAGGCAGGGGCGGCGCCAGGATGTTTTTACTGGGGGGCAACCACGAAAAGTGAGTTCCTCCGGGGGGGGGGGGCCAAGCTAGCTCTGCTCCTACTAGGTTTTCAATATATGCTTCCGGGCACTTGGGTGGGCATAGGGGGGGCAGGCGAGAATTTTGGGGGGGCTCCAGCCCACCCTTGCCCCCCCTGGCGCCGCCACTGCTTGGAGGTGGTGCTGCATTGACGACTACTGCAGCAAATCCTCTCTGTTTCTCTACGGCATGCATATTTTGTAGATTCCACTACTCTGAGTATATTTCATAACATGTACAATGTGTGCCACCATAGCATTCATTACCACGATGTTTCTGAGGCACAAGTTGCCAGTTAAGTACATATGATTTGTTTCCAAACATAGTTAATTTGGTCCAACGAAACCGACTGGTGGTATTGCATATCCTAATATGAGGATGCAGCGCTCTGTCCTCGTGTTTCTTTGGGCTAAATCTTAAAATAATTTTTTGCCAGAGCATTGAGTTGGCTCGTGGAGAAACGTGCTGACAACATGCTAAGGCACGACAGGCACTCACGTTGTCGAAGAGTCTGAGGTGAGTGCAGCTGCTGCTTCCATCTGGGTGACTGCACGGGCGATGGCAGCAGCTGGCTCAAAGTGCTTGGCCATTTTGTGCAGAAGTGCTGTGGTCGAGTTGGTCTTAAAGAGGCCCAGTGCTCGGCGCTTCAGACCGTGCGAGAGGCATGCGTCGACCGCAGCTGCACAACAATCACACTGTGAGGAACCGGACTGCTATGCTAATTTGCTCCATGCATTACATGCGAGGCCTAACTTTACCAATTTTTACATAGGCTGATATATCAGCCTCATGTTGGTGCTTAACTTACCTAACCAAAATTGAACATTCTAAAATAACTGAAGCACTTATGAAGACAAGAAAAAGCGAGGCAACAACACGGGCACTTACAACTAGAAGCTTTACTGCTTCAAAAGAAAATCTATAACTAAATCCGACCCCAACACCAGGACATGTGTGCTGTGTTGGCGGCTGGCTGGTCCCGACGAAGCAGAAGAAGACGACGGCCGACGGAGACGAACGCGGCCGGCGGGAACGCCGACCAGCCTGAACACGCGGGTTGGCACGAAGCGCCGAAGAGAAGAACAACAACCGCACTCCACGGTTACCCAACGCACACTGCTTTTATTTTACAGTCGCCTTGAAATCCTGGATGCCAGAGCGGCACCCCCTGGCATCCTCACATGTCATTCCGAAACCGAAACTGACAACCCAAAACACAACAATCATCCCCTCCTCGAAAGAAGTTCACCTATACACTGTTTATATCTATACATGATCGACACCAACGTATTATACAAGGTATGTACATTAGAACACATGAAAATTCAGAGTACGGCACACCGAACTCACTCACTACGAGTCCTGAAAATGCACTGAAAAAAAAAATGTACACAACTCAGTACAATATTGATTTGAATGCATTGGATCTTTTCACAGAACAATAATGTTCACAACAGTAATGAACAAGAATTCTACATCACGTAGTCTTCGAACCGACGCGGTTTCTGCCGCTTCCGCTTAGGGCGGGCCCTTTTGGGTATAAAATCAGGTGTCTCTGCACCTTGGTCACTTGTGCTCTGATGTGACACATCAAGAGCAGTGGAAGATTGTGAAGGCTCTGAACGAGCGTTAAAATTTCGCGGTCTCATGAGAGCTCGCAGCATGAGCTTCGGAAGAATTTTGCGGACCAGAGTCCGGTTCAACGGTCTCAGCAGTATTTGATGGTTCGAAGTGAACCGTATGATATGGGTGTACTTGAACCAGCGACACCGACTGGTAACTCCTCCCCCCTTGAAGAAGAAATGCCTGTACATGGAGGCCACATGTAATAGTCTGATGCGTAGTAGAAAGGCGTGGACGGAATGTGATGGGGAAGACTTTTAGGTGTTGAAGGCGAATCCATATGAAAAATAACAAGGCGGAAAGCATTCCAGATGTTACCATCACTTAAGCGAAAAGAAGTGGGGCTAACCTGGCCCAAGACTTTGTAAGGACCCCGATACTTGGGGCGCTTGCCTGACACACGAACCTTGACTAGATCGCTAGTGCGAACTTTGGACTGCTTTGTACCTCGACGGGTGTCGACATACTTTTTCACTGCTTGTTGATGAGAAAAAACCCTGGTACGGATTTGATCAGGAGAAGACACTGCTATGTTACGAGGCAAAGAGACTATGTCAAGAGCAACTCGCGGTTGCCTACCGTGGAGAAGTTGAACAAGAGACACTCCAGTGGTGCCTTGTGGCGTGAACCTGTACGAAGCTAAACATTCAGTCAAGACTTGCTTGAGAGGACGGTGCTCTAATTGGGCGATCTGGATATGTTCCTTCAGAACGCGATTAAAGCGCTCGATTTGCCCATTTGATCGGGGATAGAAAACTGATGACCTGAAGTGCTGCATTCCTCGTTGTGAAAGAAAAGCCTCGAAATGTTCGGACTGAAACTGTGGACCATTGTCCGAAGATTGAGGACAGAAATTCAATGATGACCTCAGAAGTAACCGTATGTGTGAAACAAAGCTCTGGCCATTTGGAATGGTAGTCGATGAGAGAAACAATGAACCGGGCATTTTGCGGAACATTATGCAAAGGACCGATGATGTCCATGCCGAGTTTCTGCCAAGGCCGATCAGGCCACTGGACTGGCTGCAACGGAGAAAATGCAGGTTTGGCAGACTTGTCAGCTGCCTGACATATATGGCAGTTGTAAACTGCATACTCGACCTGCTTGTTATTAGAATGTTATTAGAACCTTTAAAACATTGAACACTGAAATTATAATACATGAGTTTGGCACACCAACGGGAAATGCGAATGGGGCGGCGGCCTTTGGATCCTGCAGAAAGAAGAGCAACTAGTGCTTGGTGATCTGTACGTAATGTGAAGTGCCGGCCCCACAAGTAAACATGCCATTTCTCACAGGCAAAAAGGCACGCGAGAGCTTCACGCTCTCCTTCTGAATAACTGCGTTCAGCAGGGCGTCAATGTACGAGATGCAAAAGCGATAGTGATCAGCTGATCACATCTGAGTTGTTGAAACACTGCTCCCAGTCCAACATTGGACGCATCCGTCGTGATGACGATGGGAAGCTTCTCATTGAAAATACTAACAGCTGGCTTTGAGGCCAGTATTGCTTTAACTCGAATGAAGCTCTGCTCAGCTTCAGCTGACCAGTTAAAAGGCTGTGCTTGACGAAGTAGAGTACACAGTGGTTCAACAACATCAGCATAGTGAGGGACAAACTTGGCATAATAACCAACAAGACCTAAATAAGATTGCAAGGTTTTGGCATCAGTAGGCCGTGGGGCATTGACAATGGCCTGAACTTTGGATTCAACAGGTGTCAAGCCGCGGGAACTGACATTATGTCCTAGAAATTGTAACTCATTCACAGAAAAAATGCACTTGTTATTAAGTTTCATACCACATTCACTGATGCAGTTGAGAACAGTATGCAAGTTAGCATCGTGCTCTTCGCGAGTACGTCCCCACACCAAAATGTCCTCCAAGTAACAACGGGCGCCATTACAACCCTTAAGAATAATTGACATCATTTTCTGAAACACTGCAGGGGCAGATGCAAGCCCGAAACAAACACGGCGAAACCGAAACAAGCCTTCGTGCGATACAAATGTGGTTAAGTCTCTACGGCACTCAGAAAGTTAAACTTGGTGATAAGCGGACGCGAGGTCCAGCTTGGAGAAACATACCGCTCCGGAGAGCTGATGAAGCAGTTCTTCAATGTGAGGAAGTGGAAAACTGTCTACGACGATCGCCTTGTTCGGTTATCGTAAGTCGACGCATAGTCGAAGGGATCCATCTTTTTTCTTGACGACGACCAGTGGAGAAACCCAGTCGGAAGCAGAGACAATCTCGATGATTCCGCTGGCTTGAAGGCGAGACAGTTCCGCAGAGACTTGCTCACGGAGAAGAAGAGGAATGCGGCGCAGCTTGGCCCGCACAGGGCACACACCTGGTCGACGCATCACTTTATGCACAAAACCGCGCACACAACTCAGTTCACGGGTGAACAGGTGGTGGAATTCAGAAGGCGCGTTGGCCGGAAGATCATCTTGGACGTCGACTTGAGCACACGTCATAGATGCACCGACGATGTTGATGGACAAAGCCCTGATGGCATCACATCCCAAAAGAGAGCTGCCATTGGCAGTTACATAAAAAGTAATGGAAGCAGTGCGACTGCGATAGGAGACCTGAGCTGTAAAATGACCTAAATTATCAATCTTTGGAATATGTTTGTAGAACGACGTGTGAAGACAAAAGCCGAATGTTGGAAAAATGACTATGAAAGTCAGTGGCACTGATTAAAGAGACTGAGGCACCAGTGTCCACGAGAAATGACAAGGGCACATGGCCCACTAAAGCTACAATGCTGGGCTCGGACGTAGTGTGGAGGCCATCCACATTTAAAACAGTAACCGTATTGGTCTGTGCAGTGCTCGAAGGAGCGGACGAAGAAACTGGTTCAGGAAGATTTGCTGGACGGGAATTGCATATGAACTGAAAATGTCCGATTTTTCGCACGCAAGACAAGTGCGGTTTTTCGCGGGACACTGCGCAAAATTGGCTAAATGACGAGCCGATCCGCAACGAAAGCAATGCGCAGTTGCGCTTGGAGAAGAAAATTGCGAACGCGAGTTAGGAGCTCGGTGCTGTTCCTGAAAACCAGAATTTGGCGGAATGGGGTCGCCACATTGCCGGTTTCCTCGCCCCCGCGACGCAGAAAGGCCGCCATGTTGGCCGCCACGGAAGGACTGTGCAGGCGAGCGTCCATGTTGGCCGCCGCGCCGAGACGAAGATGAAGGGCCGCTATGTTGACGCGTCCCATGAAACAAAGAGCCGCTGTCTTGGCCCCCCGCAGCAGAAAGTTGCTGCACTGAATGCGGAGCGAATTGCTCCAACTGGGAGCGAATAAGCTCGTCCTCTCGCGCAATCGAGAGGGCTTCGGATAATGAAATCGAGCAGCCCTTTTGAAGCATGCGGCAGCGGACGTTTTGCGAGGCTACCCCGGTGAAAAGCTGATGGCGGATCATATTGTCCTCGAGCGCGCCGAAGCGGCACGACGTGGTGAGCGTTCTAAGAGAAATAATGAACTCGGCGACTGGCTCGCTAGGCAATTGTCGCCTTTTTTGGAATTTTATGTGTGCGAGATAATCGCACGAGACATCTTTAAAATGCTCATAAAAAAGAGCAACAGCATTCTTAACAGCGCCCGACGCTGGCGTCGGCGACGCGTTGGTGGCGTCCAAAGTATAGAAGAAATTTACCCCGGCAAGGCCCAACGCATTGAGCAGCAGGGCCTTGCGACGCTCGGGCTTGCTGGCGTCCTCCCCGGCCGAGTCTGCGTAGGCCTGAAACACCAATTTCCAGTCCGCCCACGGAATTGGCGGGTCTCCGGGCGAATGAAGAAATAGGGGAGGTGGAATAGGAGACGCCATTTCAAGCAAGAAGAATGGAGAGGTGCAGACGAGAAGAAATTGACGCCAGTACACTGTTTGAAGAAGATGACAGAGACGGCGTAGCTGAATATAGAAGGAATGAAGCAACGCAGCACGCAGCAGCTACTTTGCTGGGAACAAAGAGCGTCTAGGGTTAGCAGGGTAGGTCCGTTAGAAGCACGAAAAAGACGAACACGGAAAACGAAATGGGTTCTTACACGTCCTCGTCGCCATTGCTGTGTTGGGGGCTGGCTGGTCCCGACGAAGCAGAAGAAGAAGACGGCCGACGGAGACGAACGCGGCCGGCGGGAACACCGACCAGCCCGAACACGCGGGTTGGCGCGAAGCGCCGAAGAGAAGAACAACAACTGCACTCCACGGTTACCCAACGCACAATGCTTTTATTTTACAGTCGCCTTGAAATCCTGGATGCCAGAGCGGCGCCCCCTGGCATCCTCACATGTCATTCCGAAACCGAAACTGACAACCCAAAACACAACAATCTGCACAGTGCAAAAAGAACAAAAAGCACAGATGCCCCCTCCCCAATCAGCTACATCCTCTAGCAGTTTTACTTTTTTTGGCTAATATGGCCACAGATGGATAGCTTCTTCTTCTGGCTTTTCTTTTCTTTCCACAGTGCAAGTGTTGGAGTCGAGTTTAGGTACATATTTTGTTTTCAAGAAATAAAGCATATAGTTGTGAGTAAGCACCCGTAATGTTGCCTCTTTTGTCCTAGTATTCGCAGCACTTGAGTTATTTAAAAATTAATCAGTACTGACTCGCTAGCCTTTTGTGTTGCTTCTACATTGAACGTCTACTGATAACGTAGAACAAACTCTCACATGACTTAAAAAGTAAAGTCCGGTGTACGTTGTACCACTTGAGCCCCAGACATTCCTTACAGTGTCTTCTAAAATAAAGCTTTTGATAGAATGGCTATCACGAGAAATTTCATTACTGTAAAATCTCTAGAAAGCACCCCCCCCCCCCCCACGGTGAAGGCTAAAAAAGGGTAATGATGATGTCATGAGCGTTTACACTCATTGCATGCATAAACAAAGCATCACCACTAAATAAGTTTTATCTCATCACTGTATGATACCAGTGATTCATGCAGGCTTCAGAGTGCAGTTTAGTGAGCTTAATTGGCCAAATTGTTAATTACTTGCACTCTTATATTACTTTCATTTTCCAGGGATCAATGGGCGAGCGCATTGATTATTTTTTAGTATGACTACTGCTTATTGTCTTTGTTCTTCCACCTGACGATTTGCTGATATAGCTAACGACAACAAGACGTGAAAGTAGCACTGTCCGGATTGAGGATTTCTTTTAGACGTTTTTTGCTGAATTTTGATGCCTGAAAAGGAAAAGTGAAACAGACATGCTAAAGAGTGGCTTCCCATATGATTAGCATGAAAGAAGAGATGCTGCTGTGGCACACTCACCACAAAGGGAAGTGATGCTGCTGCTTTCCTCATGGACGAATTTGCGTGTCACTGCTTCTTCCATGATCTGTTTCACCTGCACATTGCACATGCATTTTAATTATTAATGACATCTGTCTGCATATGACTCTACAGTAACAAGACTGAGAAAACAAGCACAGCTCACAAAGGATACATGCATTTACGTGCATCCCGTATGTAAGAAGCTAGATACAGCTTTTAAATCTACTAAGCCTGATATATCCCCTTCAGTGACAGTGGCTAAGTTTTTTAATGCAACTTGTTTATGCTAGTTGTGTAAACTTGAAACCAAAAGAGATAACAACATATGTTTCTTATTGGATCAACCGAACTTTCTCCATGGTCTCAATGTTTTGCCTCAGTGTGCTGTATATGACTGTAACCGATCGCTTTTATGAAGACAGCATGGCGTTCAAAGAGTTATTTGATGCCACAATCCAGAACCAACGGCAAAACTGCTACTCTTTTTTTTTCTCCAAATGAATAAAACAAAAATGAATTGTGCACACATTAGGAGCCTAAATTTTCATTCTTATGATGGTCAGTGCAAAAAAGGACATAAAAAACAAGAAAGTACAAGACTTAACCCTTGAACAAGATTTCGAGGATAGTGCACGACATGTTTTTAGGTATATCAACGACTACTTGGTGTTTAATGATCGTGTCGATTTTATGTGGTCTATGATCCTGGACCTGAGTACATTTAGACAGCGGGGCAATGGTCCGTGCTTAAGCTCTGTAGCCCCAAACAACAATGCCTTGCAATTTTTAGATCTTTTATTACATTTCCAGAAAGATCATGATTGCTGGTCTTATTCCCCGCATTTCGCAAAACCATTTTAATCTGTCGCTCTACTCAAAAATTGTAAAGAATTGATAGGCCAGGTTTTGTCTAAATTTGGCCTTAAAGAAGTCCTGTCCTCACATTTTTTACGGCAGGTTGACAGATAAGAAGTTGCTGGTTTCCCACGCTTGGTTTTTGCCTCCACACCACAGAGACTGTTTCAAATCTTGAAAAGGGAACCATAAGATGTTATTGTTCTACCTTTAAATGGGTGAGAAAAATTTGCCATTATCCCTTCAATATCTGCACTCTGTGTGTCACTGTTTGAAGAAGATTACCAGTCATTATGACATTAAAGACACCCTGAAAAGGTTTTGGCGATTTTGTACACATTGGGCCGGTACACCAAGTCCCAAGGGTTACTTATAGAATGAGTTGAGCTCCCTGCATAAATTGTGTAATTTACTAAAATGCTTTAAAGCTGCGAATCCCTGCAGATCATTGTAGATCGTTGTGAATCGGCTCAACGCGCTTTCAACCGCCCATTCAGAGAGCAACATACATTGGCCGCTTGATGAGGCCAGAGTACGTCAGCAGCCACATCACTGGAGGCTGCTGATCTGATTGGCTATCATGAACTGTAGAATTCGTGGAAGTAAGATCAGCTGGTAGGGTGACGGCACCTATTAGCTGATATGAACCACTCAGCGATCTGTTGCAAGACGGCATTCGTGCTGCAGGACGCATTATGTTATGGCCTCTGAGACTGCACGCAACCTGTCAGCATGCAATCTCGGAGGTCTAGACTGGTAAAAGGTCAAAACTTTGACTGCGCTCATGAGAGCTCTGCGATTGCCAGCATGCCCCATGAGTTGAGGCGGCCAGGCAGAGGTGAGAAGGAACGTATGATTTAATTGTCTGTCGTTGCCTTGGGACACGGCTTGTCACCAAATTTGTGGTACAAATGGTTTGATGATGCCCTAGCCTAAACACTGATGAAACTTCAAAAAACCATTTCAGGGTCCCTTTAGTGTTGTCTTTTGTGCTGGCAAAAAGCTAGGAAGTGTGAGCGGGAGCGTTGACAAAAGGGTGCAGAAGGGGCGGGCTGCCACCAGCGCTGAAGTGTGCTCTATAAAGCATCCCTCTGTCATGTGGTGATACGTACATTCAGGGGTGCAAGCGAGCTTTAGTCTTTTGGAGCAGCTTCGGGAGAAGGAATAATGCAGTTTTGCAGAAGCTTTGAAGCAATAAAAAGGGAGTTTTGGAGCAGCTCTAGAGCAACAAAAGGTGTTTTTTGGAGCATCAAAATTTAGTTTGGAGCACATTTCTGGGTCACATATCACTTAATTAGAATTTTTGCTTTCTGGTGAACACAAAACATTTCATTGGTTTTTATTAAGCAAGCATTACTGATCAAGCAATTATACTTGCCCGAAATTCGTGTATATTAAACCTTACAACATCAAAGGTGAAAGCGCAGCAACTCAGAGAAAAAACAAAAGCGGTGTTCTGGACAGCTATTAGGCCTCAAACAAATGCAAACAAATTACGTTAAATTGTTACAATGTTCAAAATATGACTAAAACACTGCATCCAACATGAACAGCAAATCAAAATAGATAAGCTATTGTATATTAAAGGTTATCTTCATATTAAACCTGTAGAGTTCTATAAAAATATGTAGAAAACTTATCATCCGGTCAGTGAAGTGCCATAGCCGACATGATAATAGGTTTTCGCCGTCTCTGCCATGTTCCGCATAAACTACAAGTTGGTACCATTCTCTGCGCATTATACGTTCGACCAGCGCGTAAAATTGCACAAGCTGAGGTGATGAGCGTTGCTCAAGCAGAGATTAAACGAGACGGTCGATCTCGGGAGGGCGCACGCGATAGCACCCCACCGCGTGTTAAAAGTCCTGTTGCATGCTCAAGCATAAAGGAGACACTCTGCCCATCTTGAACGATCATGAAAAGACGTGACAAAGGGGGGTCGCTAGAGCAGCAGCCATGAAATTTGATTCTAATCAAGGGCGTGGTTGCGGTAGCTGGTGCGCGCGATAACTGCAAGCATCAGCGCCCGGCTCGTATACTGTTCTACATGGTGTGCTCTCAATGGAAAGAGATTGTGCGATAAGAGCATTTCTCACAGGAGCGGACGTACTTATTCCCTTACACCAGTGTTTTTTAGTTGCAGTGTTTATGTAGGATCCAAAAAAGTTAGCTGTCAGCCTTCGTAGCTGGTAGCCTTCGTATTGTCACGGGGTCGTGACATCGACGAAAGCAGCAGTCGCTGCTTTGGGCTAACCAGTGCCTGGAAAACGGAACGTCGCTGTGCAAACAATACATCCTGTAGATTGATAGCAGCGAACATAGAGTATTGGCTGTCGATAATCTGCCACGCAGCAAATGCGGTGGCACTTATACATGTGCCTTCAAAGATTCCAGGGTTATCGCTAGCGGCCATGTAAGTTCCAGAGCAAACTGTAATGTACGTGTTGTGCGTGTAATCTCATCGGAGGGTTCTATTATCTAGATAGTACCCAGTCATTCGGCTGCGGTTCGCGCAAGAAAGCAATACACGTGTAATGGTGAGGTAATGGTGAGTGGGCACGGCGGCAGCGTCAGAATGCCACCTAACAATCCGTTTCAATTCTTTATGCAGACGCTCCTGATTCTGCTGCTTCGAAGAACAGAACTGACGGTTCTACCTATCACAGATGCGCAGCAGATATGGCTTCTGGACATCGACGGCGCAGCTCGTGAAGTTGCAACCAACTTCTCGGCCATTGAAATCGTCGTTGGCAGCGCCCGGACCACCTCAGCTTTTCCCCTGGAAGATATGACTACGCCACTAGCGTTAGTACGTCTGCTCGGTATAAAGCTGGCGCACCACGGATCGCTCGGCAGTGGGCACGGCGGCAGCGTCAGAATGCCACCTAGCAATCTGTTTCAATTCTTTATGCAGGTGAGAAAACATTTCGGAAAATGCTTCTGCAGTAATAATGTATTTCTTATTTTGCTGCCGTGCCCACGGCCACTGTGCGACCTGGTTTGCAATGTCTGTGCAACTTTGAGGTTCTTGCTGCTTATGGCTGGAGATATAGAGTCTAATCCTGGTCCCGAATTCAACGAGTTGGTAGAGCAGCTGAAACGAATTGCGGGTGATATCAAAGAAATTAAGGCAGGCAAAGCAGAAACTAACGAAAAGCTAAGTGCAATTGATAAAATGCTTGAGAAAATTGCTAGCCTTGAGATCAAGGTAACTGACTGCGTTAACAGAATTGCTGACCTTGAATGCAGTATGGCAGTTATGGCTAAGAAACTCGACGACCTGGAAAATAGAAGTCGGAGCTCTAACTTAATTGTGTACGGTGTCAACGAACAAGAACACGAGTCGCCTGAAAAACTTGAAACGGCTGTAGTCAAGGAAGTTTTCAATGATGTGCTTGATGGCAAAATATCAGGCGCTGAACATATTCATCGTCTTGGTAGGGCGAAACAGGGTGACGAGCCAAAATCTAGGCCTGTCATACTGAAGTTTGTTGACTACCGAGACAAAGCCAACATTTTAAAAAACTGCTCTAAATTGAAAGGCTCCTCAATATCAGTCAGTGAAGACTTCTGCCAGCCTGTTTGTGAAATTCGAAGGAAGCTATGGGCACACACGAAGGAGAATCGAGATCGGAAAGAGAAGGTTTACCTCGTATATGATAAGGTTAAAGTAGAGGGCAGACTGTTTTCATGGGACGAAAGTTGCAATAAAATGGTAGCTATCCCAAAAAACAAGGAGACGGTAACACACAAAAAAAGTACCAAGCGAAGCCCGCAGCGAAGCCAGCAATAAAATGGGAGCTATCTCAAAAAACGACAAGGAGACTGTAACGCAAAAACAAGCACCAAGCGAAGCACGTGCAACGCGAAGCCGCAGTCGGCAACTCTTATAAACTTGAATGCTCGCAGTATCGTCAATAAAGTTGATCAGCTTGAAGCAATACTCCTCGCACATTCTCCAGATATTGTCGCTATTACAGAAACGTGGCTACATTCTGGCATTTCCGATAAAGAAATGGTGCCTCTCGGATATGTGATAGTGCGCAAAGACAGGGAATCACGTGGTGGGGGTGTTGCGCTTCTTTTCAAGGAAAGTATCGATTTTTCAACTATGCCAGACATTGAAAATGTTGAAGCTTTGTGGTGCAATGTGCGCCTACAACACAGGATCGCTAAAGTGGGCGTGTTTTACCAGCCGCCCAATGCCGATTGTACATA